AAAGAAAAGCAAGGCAAAGCAAGGCAAGGCAACGCTAGGCAAAGCAATGCAAGGCAAAGCAAAGCAGGCAAAGCAAAGCAAGGCAAAGAAACGAAAGGTAAGGCAAAGGAAGGCAAAGGACAGCAAGGCAAAGCAAGGCAAGTCAAGGCTAGGCAAAGCAAGGCAAGGCAAAGCAAGGCAAAGAAACGCAAGGCAAGGCAAAGGAAGACAAAGAAAAGCAAGGCAAAGCAAGGCAAAGCAAGGCAAAGCAAAGAAAAGCAAGGCAAAGAAAAGCAAGGCAAAGCAAGGCAAGGCTAGGCAAAGCAGGCAAAGCAAAGCAAGGCAAGGCAAGCAAAGCAAAGCAAGGCAAAGCAAAGCAAGGCCAAGCAAGGCAAGGCAAAGAAAGGCAAGGCAAGGCAAAGGAAGGCAAAGCAACGCAAGGCAAAACAAGGCAAAGCAAGGCAAAGCAGGCAAAGCAAAGCAAGGCAAAGAAACGCAAGGCAAAGCAAAGCAAGGCAAAGAAACGCAAGGCAAGGCAAGGCAAAGCAAAGCAGGCAAAGCAAGGCAAGGCAAAGAAACGCAAGGCAAGGCAAAGGAAGGCACAGAAAAGCAAGGCAAAGCAAAGCAAAGCAAAGAAACGCAAGGCAAGGCAAAGGAAGGCAAAGCAAGGCAAGGCAAAGCAAAGCAAGGCAAAGCAAGGCAAAGCAAAGCAAAGAAACGCAAGGGAAGGCAAAGGAAGGCACAGCAAGGCAAGGCAAAGGAAGGCAAAGCGGCAAAGCAAACACAAAGCAGGCAAAGCACAAGGCAAGGCAAAGCAAAGCAAAGAAACGCAAGGCAAGGCAAAGGGAGGCAAAGCAAAGCAAAGAAACGCAAAGGAAGGCAAAGCAAGGCAAGGCAAGGCAAACACAAAGAGTCAGAAACGGGAGACATCGCACCCGTCCGGTGGGGCGGCCCAACCCGCTTTTCTCGGCATCGACCAATTTCGGCGATCGACGTCGCCGCTCGTGGTTCGGCGCCTGGTAGAAGTAGTCATCCGCCACCAACTCTTTGGCACGCTCGAACCATCCATGCGCATCCAGGTTCTGCAGCCAAGATCGCTTTGGTTTTTTGTGTCCAAGAGGGTGGGGACCAGGAGTCGAAGGTTTACTAAGCACGAGAGGACCATGAACGGCCCATCAGTTCAATGTTCGGTTGTCACACAGGACAGGTGCAGTCATGTGCAGTCCATATCATCATGTTGCAGATGTATGCATGTCGTATGTCGTATGTCAGGACTGAGTTCCCACAAAGGACTGAGAGGTGTTATTTTTTCTGTGGCACCAACAGTCCAAGAGTCAGCCCATCTGAGGCACCTCATTCGTGAAGCTCTGAGATGGCTCATGCCGCTTTGGCGGCATCGTGGGCACCACATTGGCCTCTTGGCCATCCCTGGGGAGCTGAGGGCTGCAGAAGGTCCAATCAGACTGAAGTGCAAAGCCAAAAAAGGCCCATAAGCTTGGACTGATGCGGCTAGGATTCTATAAACCCATGATAGCTGGAGCCGAAGATCATAAGTTCATAGATGATTGGGAGCTTCATGGGAATATCCGTTCACAAAACCGTCTCCAATGGATTGGTTCAGGGAAAATCGACAGGACACCATAGTTTTGACATGTTTCACCCTAGAAGACTCGGGGTTTCCTAGTTTCCTGCGTAACTTTTCCTTAAACAGGAACATCTCCAGCACGCTTCGCCGTGTTCGCCCGCATTTGGTCCATTCAATCTGTCACACACTGATTCGCGACACCAATGACCTGAAGCTGCAGCTTCAGTGGAGCTCAGTTCGTCCGAAACTGCAGGACAGACGGAGGTGGGGCAGCACGGACATGGGTCAATCCTACGTTGGATGTATACCTCTATCAGTACCCCTATCTGGACGCATACAGGCGGTTGACAATACAATAATAGACACCCCTTAAATCCCTTAGGGGCATAAAGTTGACAACACAATAATAGACACCCAACAAACACCTTCTCCTTAGGGACTTCTGTCTTAGGCTTCTCATTGGCTTCGTCGACAAACCACGGAACCTCTTTCCTTCGCCATTGCTCGGTCCAAAGATGTTCCGCGGCACCATCTCACCAACTCCATCGATGTGGAGACGTGCTGGAGATCCGTGTGAGGTTGTGTGAGGTGTTCAGCAACCAGGAGGCCTTTGCAAGCCAGATCTCTATGTTCATGTTTAATACATATATATATACCTGGAACCTGAATGACCTCTATTTTGGATCACCAATCACCCCAAATAAGGTCTTGTCCTATCAAAACAAAGGTCAAATGGGCTCTAGGTAAGGTATATATATTTATAACTAGTTGGTTGGGATGTCAAACAGCTTCGCATAGCTTCGCACTTGGTCATCGATGGAGCGGTCTGCGAGATGCTTCACGGCCCGCTGGCATCATCATCACGAGCTTTCTCCACACACTTCTTTTGACCTGAGCTGGAAGCAGCTTTTTCAGTACTTTTTCACAAATCACCCTCAACTTGGCACAGAATCTCGCCAAACAATAATTAACCCAGTGGTTTTGGGGTTCCATGTGGTCCTCTGCAGGGGGATATCTACTCTGGGCCTCTAGGCTATGGGCTCCTGCCTCGCATATCGGTGTCGGTGCACAACGAGCTTGGTGATCAAATGTGAGTATTCTCAAGCAAAGCCAAAGAAACCAGTATTCACAAAAGCAAATGGTCAAAAGACTTCAATCAACACCGTCATCCACCCCAGTATACCCAAGTGATTCATCTGTCTGCCCATGGCTCACCAGTTTTTCCAAAGGGTTTCCCATGGATATGTGCCTGCCTTTTCAAAACCAAGCCACGTTCAATGACACGCTGCATCCCCTCCAAGCCTCGTTGCACCTCCTTGAAGCTCGGGCCATAAGAGATGCGGATGAAGGAGTCGTAGCCTCGGACCATTTAGTTTTGCTTTTCGCCGGCAAGAGCATTACAATTCAAGTACGATCTTCCCAGTTCGGGAATCACCCCTATGAAGAGTTACAATCAAACATAGTCTTACAATCAAACATCACCCCTATGAAGCCAAGTCCAGGTAGCTGTTGAACTTCCGCCGGGATCCCGGATTCACATCGAAGAACACGCCCGGCGTCACCTCACGAGGACGGTGCTTCTCGTCTTCTGAGACGCCGGAAGCACTGGCAGAATCGGCGTCTTCCGAACGTAGATGAACATGACACCATGACACCATGCCCCAATGATCCATGATGATCCATGTATCCCTAGGCATCCAGTCGTACCGAACCTCAGGTACGGTGATGTGTGGAGACACTGTAGGTGGCAGGAGGGTTCTCAAGTACCTTCGAAGGTACTTGGATCCCTATGGTATTGGAATAATGATGTGCAATATAGATAATTGCCTACATTTGGCTCATGTTCACGGGGGTAAATGTAACTTTATGCAGCTATTCCAGTCCCATGGATGGTCTGACGGCTCTTTTAGGCCTTACCCAAAGGGCTTCGTCACCGAACCCTGCACCGTCCAGCGCCCGCCGGGCGCGCCCGCCCAGCAAAGCCACGCCGAATCTCCACCGGCGCCGGTGTCGCGGAGGCGGAGTCTCGGGTGCAACCCTATAGGCGAGGGTGCGACCCTCTTGATGAATAACCTCTTGTAGAGTAAAACCTCTTAAGTTTGATTAATAAGAGTATAGTAACCATTTGGATTGTTAAAACCTCTTTGTAGGGGTGGTTTGATGAATCACACAATCTACAGAGCTTCTGAGGTTGATCGGTTTTCCCCGCCAGCTCCCGCTGAAAGGCCAAAGAACAATGACCTTCTCGCGCAAGAGTTCACGAAAAAAGCCCCAGCAGTTGTTCAAGGGCGGGGGCAGCTTGGAGATATCGCACCAGCCTCAGGAACACCATGGCATCCAGCAGTGATGAGAGCTGCAATAGATCTATCATGATCTATCTCTCTCTCACGAAAGCATCTTATACCGCACATGCATTCCAGAAAGCACTGGCCTTTTGAACAACCATTTGCCCTATGTTCATTCGAACGGTACTCGGTGGGGGGGGTTTCACAAGTTGGCCAAAAAGATCCAAAAAGGGTCAACATCATCAACATCAACTCATCCAAGCAACAGTAGAAGGTTCCCTGGGGTGGATGTTCAACAGTGATCCCCATGTCCTGCAGCCTCCTCAGAAGAAAGTCGCGCTTGTGGCTGAAGAGCACCTGACGAAGTCAGACCGCGAAAGAAGGATGCGTGGGAGGGCGGAAAGAAGGATGCGTGGATGGTCTTGAAGACATCTGGCAGTGGAATGAGTCACACTCCCTGGCACAAATCATGGTTACGTTGATGGCATGGCCGACATGGAAGGATGTCCAGACATCCGAAGACCCCACAGGTGGTGAACTCACTCACTCCACTTCCGAGTTTTCCTCGGATTTTGAGCCAAACTTGGGCCTCCAGGCGGCTCGTCGGGACTGGGAGACCGGTAGTCATTGGCAAAAACCATACACCCAAACGCGACCCTGGGCCCTCATATGGAGGGGTCGGACCCGAATCCTCTGGAGGGGTCTGGGGTCTCAAATCCCTAGGTTTTGAGGGACCAAGGGTTGTTTGGAGCGTCTGGGCAAGAAGCAAACCTAACATAGACCTGACCCTGGAAGAGTGTTTTCCACTACCAACCAGTGAAAACCTCAGGGTCGGGATCGTCGACACCAGGGTGTACAGGAAACCAAACATCGATTTCATCCAAAATGGACTGCAAGAAGTCACCATGGGGTCAATGTTTCAAGGGAAAGTTGTGAAGCTTGAAGCAAGCCAATCGCCCACCTCAGTCTAGGCCTACTCTGGCTCTACATGGCTCTACTATTTTGACCGAAGAATTCGGTCGAGCACAGACTGCATCGGACAAAGCAAAAGAATGCAAAGCAACACTGCTACATCACGGCTCCTGGGTATGTCCAGCAGGAAGAACAAACCACTCACAACCTGATCGGCGACTCTTGCGTCACCCAATCCACCCATCTTCCTTGCAGCCACGAAAAAATGTTAAAAACACACAAACACACACTTAGATCTAGGCTCCCAAGAGCATAATCAGTCGTGACAGTCCGGTGATGCGGCCTTGAAGAACGGAATGGCGACAAGTCGGAACAGAACCCATACACTCCGGACTGGAATATATGCCGCCCCAGAGGTCGAGCCCCCTGGCACCACTCCCTGGTCGTTTTGAAGGCAGTCCATGCCAGTCGCAGACAGGTCGTGTCACGGTCCCCACCTGTAGCATCACCGTCTGCTCGATGACCTGAGAGACATCAGCGCGGCCGCGATGCCAATCGTCCCGCCGGACGTCGGATGGATCATCCTGGTTGGTCTTCGGCGGATGAAGCGCATCCGCATCCCAAGACTCCAAACAACACCTGTTCAAATGATCATTCCCAGACACTCCACGTATGCCATATATGCATACATTGGGGTGGTTTGGGGGGTCAATGTAGGCATGTATTCCATACATGGAGTGTATGGGATTGAAGAGTGGAGCTGGTGCCTCTCGGCGGCAAACAGCCAAGTCACGTCTTTGGGGTTCAGCAAGGGCACGCAGGAGCGCTGGGTGGGTAGTGAAGGGCCACCATCCAAGAAGGATCCTGCAGCACCCACTGCGTCGATGACCTCGGTGTTGTCTGGCGACCAGCAGCTGACAGTGAAAACGGCTGAAAGCGGCTTCGGACAACGGTGCTTTCACGTTGAAGAACAGGCCCGAGTGTGTGTATCAAATACTTAGGATCCAATGCACCCTTGATTTAATTTAATAGCCCTAGCCGAACAACCATCGTTTTTACTAAGGGTTTTGCACTGCAAGACTAGGTCAACCATGTTTGAATGCCATGCCTGCCCTCAGGTCCCCTCTGAAGGCTTTCACCCATACATAGTGGTTTAGCATGATTTAGCAATCAATTTGTTCTGACCCAAGGGAGGACACCTAAGGACGGTCAAAATGGCACACTCTTGGAAATGGCACACTCAAAGCAGTCAAAATGATCTTCATCCATGGGTGCTAACATTCTGAACCAGGACCTCTCTCTTTTTCTGGGTCTCTATCAACGCCTATTCTGGTGGTGGTGAGTCAGGGTGTCTAAGTATCTGTATCTATCAGCCACCCACACCACCCTAGCCACCCTTCCCCTCGCTCGCCTAAGGGCCTAAGGGTCAAGGCACTGTCTTGGGTGCCACGATCCAACAAATCCGAAGACCTGGCATCCTCCAGCACTTTGTCAGCCCGTCTAAGATGATGACCTGAGAGCAGTTCACGCTTGGCACCGCGGAGACGGCTCCAGCCGCAAGGATTCGAGCAAAGAGTCGGGATGTTGCAAATGTTTTTGTGGTGAGAAGGTACCAGGGGCCCCTGTTTGGGGCAGTTAATGGACACCCCTTAACCTCCAAGGGGGCTACCATTAGACACCCCTTAGGGGGCCCTGGTATAGATTAACATTCAAAGCAGGATGCGCTCATTATACTGACTGTACGTTATACTTTGAATTGTGCCCACCGCCTAGGCCCAAACGACCTCGGGCTGTGGCAATGGGCAGTCCGCACGCACATCGCGCTCGTCAGCGGGACGCTTCGGTTCACCGGCTTTACGCTACAACGCTTCGAGGACGAGGGTAACTTGGATGTGCGGTGCAGGAGGCCAAAACAGTTCCAGAAGGGAATTGAATGTAGACTCATAGATGGTATTGGTGATCAATCAAGTCTACATTATTTACCCATGGCCCATATAGGGAAAATAAAAATCACCCGAATTGACAGAAGAAAACAAGCCTCCAGGTGGAGGAACTGCGGAAAAAAGAAAACGACCCCTACTTATCAATGCTACAATGAGCGACCAAGGACCACAGCTTAACTCAAGCTAGCCACGACCCGACTTAGAGTTGCAAAGCGGGAGTTCCAGGTCAAAATCCACTGCTTGAGTTAGAAACCAATGTAAAACCCCAAGTCAAAGTCTCAGTCTCCAGTCTACCACCTGCACCATGCGCACCATGCCTCATGTCATAAGCCTCTGCTGGAAGGGGGATCCAAGAAAAGTCGTTATACCTCCCAAATGAGCTTTCTCAGCGTATCTGAGCATACAGCATTGTTGGAGGTCTCTTCTTTCCCTCATCCTGGCATTATATAGTAGGCGAAATTCATATGTATGTATGTATGTATGTATGTATGGATCCATATGATTCATCATGATTCATCCATTAGGATCCATTAGGGGAACATGACAAACATACTCCCCCACTGGCCCACAAGCTAAAATAGAACCTCAAAATTGACCCGTGGTTTCGACGATTTTCCTCTACAACCCTGTAGTTGGGGGGTTCCATGATGTTCCATGTGGTCCTCTGCAGGGAGTAACACCAAAGCAGCGGACAAGCAGGTTCGATCCCAAGCGGCGGGGTCCTGATTCACGTCATCCACGAACTGGGCTGCGGAGACCATGCGCCAGGTGGCGTCCGTGGGGCTCATGCGCTGGGTGTAGACATATCTGGAATAGATCTCGTCCAAGACCAAGGAGCCTGGAGGATGGAGCTAACACCAAGCTGTTTTAAGTGACCTGGTTGTTTCATACAAAACCGGGTCACTTGGAGGATGGAGCTATGAACATATCCCGTTGGCAGTGGGCAGATGTTTTTTTTCGTGCCGCGTTGGGTGTGTGATGTGATGTCGTAGTTCATGGAGTTTAGGACCTGGTTGTTTCATGTGACCAAAGCTGTTTTGTTGGGGCTTGAGGTTGCTGAGGTCTGTAAAAGTTCACAAACAGGGACTCCACAGACAGGTCACTTTGAAGAAGCTGGGAGAGAAGCAAGCGAAGACCTTTGTTGGACTTGAAGGAATCCCATGTGCGGGTGCATCAAATCAAGGCGATCAATCATCCAAGTCCTTCCGGATGCCCGATTGAATGCCATCTTGAAGCTTTAGCATGTGTCGTGAGAAAAAAAGCCCCAAATCAAAGAACACATTAAATTAGGAAAGCAACAATTACATTTGATATATATATATTTTTTTTTTGTTGTCTCCTGGTCTCCGGGTTTTGTATGTTGTCTTCCGGTTCTGGTCAAGTACGACAAATGACCACGTTGCCCAAAAACTGGGAGTTCCACAAAGGGTTGCTTCCAAAACTTCCATATGTTGAGTCTATCATGGTCTATCCTAGTATCAGTGACCGTGGATGATGATGGTTAGGTTGCAGGCCGACATCTCTTGTTTATGGTTCCTGTTACAGGTGAGAACGGAGAAACCCAATTCATATTATTTTACCCCACATCCACATAGCAGTCTTCCATGATCCTCCCCACCTGAAAAGAAACACACTCCACAGCCCTTCAGCAAGGGGCAAAACACGATGATGATTCCCTTCCCTCCTGCTGGTCTGGTGGATAGAATTCTCATGAATTCTCCAAGGAGACGTGGTCAGTGGGGATTGAATGTGCTCTCTCTTCCTCTTGCGACCCAGGACAGCGATGTCTGTGACCATGCAATGAGCGGCTCGCACAACTTATGGACACATCGACAAGCCCACCACTCAAATGACAAAGGAAGGTTTATCATTGGTTTATATTATATATAGATATAGAGTCGCTATGAGTCGCTCACATGTTTGTGCTCATGTCCTCAAAAAAAGGGACCGAGACACACCGAGACAGCTAGCCAGGCACCCTTGGCAAAGACCGTAGCTCCCATCTGCTGCTCTGTTGAGGACACAGGCTCAAAGCTGAGAGTCTCACACGGATCATGTAGACTGACTGTTGATAAATAACGCCCCCATCATTTCTGTTGAAATTTAGAAGCTAAATGGGCATTCTACACCCTAAATGGATTTGCTCATTTCAGCCACAAGACGCAGGTGAAAACATCCTTCATTAATCATCTTCAATCATTGAACACATTTTCTTAGCTGCAATTCCTCATTTCTTTGGGCGCTGTTTATTTGCAGAACCTTTTGCTGGACGATGTCAGTCAGGTCCCAGCACCTCCCTTGCACCGACCAAACGATGTCAGAATCATCTCATGAGCCACGGTGCACTGCGTCTCTCGTGCAATCCGTACCCAGTTCTTGAGCTCCTCACCCTCAATGAGCTGCCCTGTGGGGTTGCAGGGGTTGCTGAGCAACAGCACCGACAAGCCACGCCCCACAATCTCCCGCCGCAGCTCCTGGCGTCGGAGCGGTGTGGCCTGACTGTGGCGTGTTCGAGGTCCGACTGTGCTTGGGCGGGCCTTGGGGCGTCCTTTTGGGGGGGCACGTGGAGGAAGTGACCTGGAAGGAATCGACTCGACCTGCAGCTGGACGCTGCCTTGCTGGACTACTTGCACTTGTAGCCGAAACAGGAGTCAACTCTAAAGCGTCCAACCACCATTGATTCAATCGCCTTTTACCGAACATCCATTTATATATAGTTGTACATAGTTGTACTAAGGATGTTAAACTACAAAATCAAGTTCAACCTTTTGTTGAATGGTCTTGGACGGCTAGGGTCAAGTGTTTAGAAGCTCAGCTTATTCTGGGGAAGTCTTCCACAGTCTTGGGCTGGTCAAGTGCTCCCTAAATGTTGCTCTCAGCGACATGCTTTCACATGCTTTAGCCTTCTTGTCTTCTCCTCTTTTGGGACACCCTCTCATCCCAGGTCTCCAGGTCTCCACGCCCAGGTCTCCCCCAACATCCACATCGACTCTCATAATTACCCCCCCCCCCCCCCGTCCCGTTTCACTCACACGGTCTTCGCGCTCCGACGGCACGGCACTCGTTCGCACCGGTGGCTTCGGCACCGGTGGCTTCGTCCCCCTGCCTTCGTTCGGGTCCGTCCCCGGGTCGGAGCCGTCCCCCGCACCGCGTCCTGGAGGGTGATCGTGAAGTTGTTCTTCGGGTCCAAGGGGATGGGAATGGAGTTGATGGTTTTGAACTGGCTCAAGAGTTCCGCATAGGCCTGGCAGAGTGAGCCGGGGCGGCATATATTCCAGTCCTATGGAGTGTATGGCCTTTCTTCTTCAGCGCGTGATTTTTTGGGGGGAAGTCCCCCAAGAAGTCCAGAAGTTCCATCCCCCTCATTCTGCAAAGAAACACACGACGAGAATGCCGACAATCCAAAACGCCAAGCAGCCGTGTAGTCGGGTAAGAAATGTCCCAAATTCCTAGGGGTCGGCTCAGTGGCGGCCATGAAGGGAACAAGGCCAAGATATGTTCACACATGCGAAGAGGGGCCGAAACATGAAGAACAAAAGCACACCCAGGAAAAATATCCCGGGTACCTCCTGGGGCTTGACAAAGCTAGAAGGCCTTGAGGACAAACCTTCATGGATTCTCGAAGTGCAAGCACCGCTAGAAAAGAAAAGCCAAACTTCGACTGCCCCCGCGCCCCAAAGAAAACAACAGCACACCCCAAAGAACACACTGCTTAGGCTGCCATCTGTCCGAGCTTCACATTGTCCATGGCACAGCACAACCTGGTCAAAGCCAACCGTCCACCACCCACAATTGCCACGTTCTCCGCGGTGTAGAGAGAGGACTTGCCCTTCCGGTAGATCCTTGGCTGAAGTTGAAGTGCACTTCCCATGAACAAACCAACACCAATTTTGACCAATGGTTGACTACCACTTTCCCTAACAAAACTACCACTTCACCACTTCATCCTCGACTTGATCTCTTCAACCTCACCACCCCACCCACGCTGGCGGTTTCGGGGAACTGCGTGGCCTCGCTGTAGCGGCCCAAGGCTCTCGTTGTAGTACTTTGCTACAGCACGTCGGAGGGCCCAATCACCTCAAGTGAAGCCGCCTTAAAAACAGAACCTAGTTTGAGGGAGGACATGGGAGGACCTTTTTCACACACAAACAAGCGACCATGTAGGGATATAACTCATGATAACTCATATTATATATATATATATATATTCTACTGCTGAAGGTATGGGTTTTGGATGTTTTTGATGGTTTGGTATAGGAGTATAGAGGGTGCAGTACAGTGTAGAGTAGAGTTTGTGTTCCCAAAGTTGTCCCTACCCAACTGCAACCTGGTCCAAGAACTGCGTGTTGAAGATCAAGTCACCATTCACGCTGCTATAATGCAGGTTTTCTTCATTCACTTCCTCAGATGGAACATGGGTCAGGTTGGTGCACTGGGTGTGGATGCAGCCACTGGGTGTGGGCACCTCCTGGCCGCCCTTGTCCGTTCAGATCTGGGCCAGGAAACTGCTCCGCTTGCTCAGGTTAGGAAGAGCACATGGGCGTGGTGAAGTCAGAAATACCTTTTTTTCGGTCCGTCGGTCCACCTTGTGTGACAGAAAAACCTTTTGCACCACAATCCCTTGTAGCAAAACATGTTGCCGCAGGGCACAAGAAACGGCACACAATTATAATTGTGAGAGAGATTGTGTACCTGAATGGGTAAGTCCGGGAGTCACTCTCGTTCGTTGGTATCAAATTCAGGGATAGAATTAAAAGCAATCTTCTGCACGCAGCAGCAGGTTTCCACCAAGCCCTCCAAAACCCTCCTCATAAAAATCCAACACATGTCTAATTTAAACTTGCGGACTTGAAATAGTTTAGTCATAACTTCTAACCCTCGACTTCTGCCGATGTACACTGCAATCGAGCAAAAAGTCTGCCCATGCGAATCAATTCACATCTAATTATGAGAATTTGCGCAACAGGAAAACGCCGAACATACAACGCAAATTTGCTCGGCTGATGTTCTCCAGCAAGATCCTACGAGGTTGCACACAGTTTTGATTGACAGTTTTGTCGTGTCAAATGTGGTTGGGATCGTTCGTACGGTCAGGGCGTGTTTTAAGAAATGTCTCGCAAGCCCAAAGAGATCCCGATAGCACCAAAAAAACTGCTCATCTAAGAAGCCTCGTTCAAACCGTTCAAACTCTGGTGTCCACTCCAAACGGTCCGATTTAAGATCTTAAGAACATGCCCCCCCGCAAACTAACATGGAACCCGACAAATGGACCGATGGAAGGCCATTTTCCTCTACACCCCAGTGGTTTTGGGGTTCCATGTTAGTCTGCAGGGAGTATCCAGAGATGGCGCTTGATTTTTGAGCCGCTGCCACAGACTGCCACGTCAGCAGCAATCACTGGCAGCGGTCACTGGCCGTTTGACCGTTCCTAGAAATGGTCATCGACATGTTTGAACTCGGTATTGAACCAAATGCCCAGCTGGCTGCTCATCTCAAGACGAGCTGATGAAACTCCATCCACCATCCAGAACCATTTGTGCGGATGCGCATGGTCTTCCTCAATCCTCCTGAGCAAACGGACACCCGCGAATCCAATCGAAGCATGCCCGACCGGTTCAGAAACCCTTCCCAAGTCCGCCGCTTACTGGGCCAGCCCTGAGCCGGCCCTCGGCTGGACATGTCCGAGGAGCCAGGGTTTGCAATGAGAAAGGCCCCAACTCGGAGCTCAGCTTCCCTTTCTCCACCAGCTCGCTCAAGCGTTTCCTTTTTTCGCGGCGCGCCAGGCGCCAAACGGACGTGCGTGTTTCGGAAGCGTTTTCAGCATACAGAGCCAGCGGTCGGGGTGGTAACACTTGCTCATGCAATCAAGGCATCAAGGCCTCCGGGATCTCCACAAATGATAAAACATAAAATGCCCAGGTGGCCCAGGTGCATCCAAGAGCTAGCCTCCTAGTCCTTTGAAAACCCGCACCTGCGTCTCTTCTCCAATTGGGGCTCTATCTTCCACCGCAATGACATCAATATTGGCTAGTACATAAATATATAAAATAGTAGGAGAACAACATAGATCAAAACAGTACTGTTTGCAACCATTTTTGGCATCATCTCTTGGAAGAAGACCTGACCACCCCCCGATGTATAGACATATATAACCAGCCAGGGCGTAGAAACAACCAGTGCACCAGGGTCTTCACCACTGGCATTCTAGTCCGGGTCTCCGCCACTCATTCCCATCGTTTCACACCAAGGTTGACATCCTCATTCGGGTGGTTGGTTCATGGACACCCCGGATCACCTCTTTTTGTGACTATTGTTAGACACCCACTTAGACACCCTGAACGCAGGGTAGCCCTAGGTGTGTATGTATAAATATATACATGTATAGATGCAAAACATTGAAAGAACATGAAAGAACCATTCTGGAGACGAAAACCCTGAAGTATATGTATAGATCTACATGGGCCACCGCCTGGTCCCTTCCCACTTGCATGTTCAACGGCCGGGCCCAAGGCTCCGGATGTTCGTTGGCCAATGCTTGGCCTTCGTGGTCTCTGGTGAGCCTTGTCCCAAGTTCGCCCATTGCTGGGCGGTCTGTGCGCAGTAGCCAGCCTTGCTGGCCTCGTCCATGACGTAGATCACACCGGTCTTGGGCACCTGACACTGTCTGGACTCCACCCGACCTCACTGGGTGAAGAACGAACGATGACATGACAAACCGACCTCGCGGTCGGGTGAAGAAACCGACTTCGCTGGGTAGTGTGGAGGTGAAACTGATAGTAGTCTTATAAACAACTTTCGTATGGTAAGGTCAGAAGGTCTGAATCCCTCATTAAAAAAAAGCCGAAAAAAGTCAACTGGAACAGTCAAAGTCAACAAACACATCAAACTAAAAGGTCAAAAACATTTTTTTAAAAGTCTAAAACAAAGTCAAAAACAGGTAAACAAAAAGTCGGATCTGGGCAAATTGACTTTTTTTGACTTTCTGTAATTTTATGATTTGACTTTTTTTGACTGTTTTAAACATTTTGAAAACAGGCTCTTTCCAATGAACGTTTTTTTTTTAACAATGTTAGTGGACATATATAAGGGGGATGGGACACGACCGGGTTTGACCATGTTCTATATAATATCCGTCTAAATTAGCTATTTTTTTTTATGTTGATTGATTTTGAGTTTTTGTTTTAGGCTGACGGTTCTTATGTTAGAGGCTGGATTTGTTTGTTGATTTCGGACAGTACTTTTTATTACGGCGGTTCTGTTCTTTTTTATGCTGGTGGTCTTTTTATGCGGGAGGCTGGGGGTGTTCCCTTCTATGCGGACGTTGTTCTTTTTTGTGGGGCAGTTCTGTCTTTGTTGCTGGGAGGTTCTTTTTTATGCGTTATGTTTTTCTCTTATGCGGTTGATATTGTGTTTTCTTCTTCCTCCATCCTTTTGCTGGGGGTTGGTTGCGGACATTTCCTTTATGTATTATGCAGGAGGCTGTTTGTTTCTTGTGTAGGTTCCTTTTGTGTGCTGGGGGTTCTCTTTCTATGCAGGCGGTTCATTTTATGCTGGTGATCTTGTTTCTTCCTCTTCTTCCTTCTTCCTTTTGCAGGAGGCTAGGGGGCTGTCTTTTTTTATGTGGTTGTGTTTATTTCCCTTTCCCTCTTTGTCCTCTTCTTCTTCTTCTTCTTTCTTCCTCGTCTACGTCCTTTTCTTCTCGTTTGTTTGTTATTATTCTTTTCTTCTTCCCCCGTCTTTTCTGAGTGTTTATTTTGTGCTACAGTTTATATATTGATTAGGCTGGGTGTGCGAGGGGCGGTGGTTCTTTCCTTTCTTGTCTTTCGTGCTTTTCTTTCTCTTTGCTCTTCAGTTTCTGGCCTGCTGACGGAGACAGATTACTGTGCTCATCCTGGTTCCTCTTCTTTCTCTTCTTCCTCTTCCTCTCTCCTTTTACGGGGGCCTGGCGGGTTCTGTTTTGGTTTCATCGTTTTCGTGCGGGCAGGTTCTTTTTTGCTTCGGTGTCTTTTTTTGGAGAGTGGCTCCCTCCGCTAAATGTTGCCCTCAGGTGGGTCGCTACGTTTCCATGGCCCCAAAGAAGGTGTGCTACATGGAAAAGGCCGGCTCCTTCCTGGTCTAATTTTTTCCCTCGGATACCCTCAAATGGCTCACAAAAGGCCTGCTACGCCGGAATGTATTTTTCCTCTAAACTGTACGCGCCCTCGGGCCCTTGGGTGGGTCACAAATGGTCTGCCACGTTAGATGGGTTCCTTCCTTGTCAAAATTCTACCCTCAGATGGCTCACAAATGGTTTTCTACGTTGGAATGGCCCCCTCCCCCTCTAAATTCTACCCTTGGGTGGGATGGTTCCTTCGTAATTGCATAAATATTGATTTAACCCTCAGATGGCTCACAATATGTATGGCTCACACAAGGCAATTATGACACGTTGGAATGGCTCCTGTCTGGTAAAACCAATTGCCTGGTGCGATGACCCACAGCCATATCGGGTGTTGTGTTGGTGTGTTTTAGCATGATGCTCCGGCTTGAATCATGATCATATATCATATACAGTATACTGTGCTCCTACCTCTCGGTGCTCCTACTGCCGATCTTTGCATCCGGGGTCGTCAGGACTGGTCACATATGGCCAGGCCTGGCATGGAAAACACCAGTACTGGTCCGGTATGTTGGTGCCGTTGGGACAGAAGAAGTGGCCACACACACACACACGTTCGGAAGAAGAAACGCCCCCCCTGGGTTCCAAGAGTGCTTACAATTCATGTGATCTTCACGCTCTTGAAACAGTGGGTCAAATCCCTGAAACCCCTGAACAGCAGCAAGCAGCTTGGCCTTGCGAAAGCCTGCCAAAGACTCCTGCCGAGACATGGCTGAGCATCAGCTTATAGGTTATCTCATTGATCTATATTCCAGTGATCCAGAATGTAGGGATTCGAGAATGCAAAAAGGATGTGATCCATCGATCCTATAATTGATGATAACATATGTTAATTATATGCATGAGAATGCATGAGATTATATTAATATATTACTATGACAACTATGACTATGACCTATTCATGTATATAGGGAAGGAACGGGACAAGCATCTGCATCTGCTTGCGAGACATGTGTGAGTCTTGAAACACTGTAACTGCTCCAACCCCAAGCCCTTCAAGCCCACCCCACCAGCCCAAGCCCAAGCTCACCGGCCAAACCCCAGCCCATCCCCTGGCGCGAAATCCGATCCGACCAAACCGCTCCATCTCTTCTTTGATGCCGCTCTCCATGGGCGCATCCGCCGCCGCGGTGGACGCCACCTGGAGCTCCTCCTCGGCTTCGGCGGCTTCCGCCTCAACGGAGCCCGCCTGGGCGTGGCGGCTGGGAGGTGCGGCTGGGTGGGGTTTCGGCACAGGAGCTGAAGACCTGGCGGGTTTCTCATGCTTCACTTAGAAGGTCCTTGGTGGCATGGACATGCAGGTCCTAAAGGTCTGACCTGTTCGGCGATGGGCGGCTGAATCAAACATTCAACGAGATGAAAATACCTACCCAGCGATTCCAAGGCGTGCCCAATGGAGACCTGTAAGTAGTGTGGAGATATCCATTGGTGACCCCTTGGAAGCAGCTGGTAGGATGTCCAAATCCATGTCGACAAAAATTTGAGCTCAAGCTCTGCTCGATCTTTTCTACTGCAATGTGCCAAGTCTCACAGATCATGTCATATGGAGTAAATGACAATCCCTTGCCCGGCACTGCCCCTGAACAGAATTGGGTGCGTGGTTTAAAAAACTCGCCATCCACCTGCGGCAGGTGCAACTAGTAACAAGGTGCATCGCTAGTATTGAAACATAATGAAACAGGTGCATCGCTATTTAGCAGTAAGAGTCAGAGGCTACTTCTACCATCCCGGCTGTTCTACCATCCCAGTCGCAGTCACTGGACCTGGCCTCGCTCTCAAGCTTGGGTTTGGGTGGCAAGGGGTGCCGGCGCCGGACTTCCACTTTCCCTGCGGAAAAACAGCCATCTGCCCGTGTCTCTCGACAAAACACCGTCCAGCCAGCTGGCAGTTCGGAACATCATATAACCCAAGCGGTGAATGTGGGTTGATGGGTTAGGTGGTGGAGGAGGGCTGTCTCCAACAATGCTGGAACTAGTTCTTAGAGAAACAGCCTTCTGAAATTTCGACTTCCATGATGCTTGCAGGGCAAAGGCACATCGGAGAAGGAATCTCTGGATTCCAAGGAAACGTCCACAGGTTGTTGATAGTGACTGACAAAAGGAACTTGTGCACTCTAACTCCACCATGGAAGCCGTCAGCACAAGGTATGGAGTATGATGGAGCCATAGACCAATAGACTAAAAGCATCCTTCGATGAAGTCCATGCCAAGGCTAGGCTAGGCGTCGGGGGATGCATTGATGTCCAAGCTGCAGTTGTTCATGCGGTTCGTCGGGATCGTAGAGTTCGCCCATGGTGAAACCCACAAAAAGTAGCCCAACATAGCCCAACGCATTTTCCTACCAAGTGATTGAATATGTTAAATAAGTAGTACCCAAACACTCCATGTATGCCATATGTGGCTACATTGACCCCCCAAACCACCCCAATGTAGGCATATATGGCACACATGGAGTGTCTGGGGTAGTGGAATATCGTCATAGTGGCGAAATAGTGGCACATCCCTGGAGACATGGCCAATTGCTCATGACTGAGCCTCGGCACCAACCTGGAAGAGTGCCGGCGGTCACATGATAAATGCCCACATATGCCGCTCTAAACTGGTGGGTTGATCGGCTTTAATCCTTTTCAACGCCCCCCCGAAAAATCCATGTTTTGCCGCCTTATATTATATGGCGGCACCCGCCTGTGAAATCCTGCTTGACTTCCAGCTCTGGAATTCGCTTCAAGCTCGCAACGACGAGATCTAACTCACTGGTGATCTGCTGGACTCGATTGAAGCCGGCAATGATCTCCGCCGCAATGAAGCTAGTGCAGTCTTCTCCGAGTTGATTCACCAACCATTCCTAGCTGCGAGACATTGCGAGACAACAAACACGGAAGGCAACAGATCGGACACACGCAATTCCAAGGACCCACAGCGACCCACAATCCCCTCATACTAGTGAATTCTATGTTAGAAAGACCAAAGGAAAGACTCCCACACGACTCCAAGCCATAATTGCTCAAAGAGTCATCTTTCCATAAGTTCTTATCACTAAAGTAATAGCGCAGCTGCCGTTCTAGCCGCACATCTCCCATGGCTCAACAATAGATCACCGGTGTGCTGCTTCCTTTGACGTCGCTCTGCACATGTCGGAACTATGACCGGAACTCACCGGTAGAACAGTTTGAGTCGGGCAACATCTGTTTTAAATAATGATCCAAAAAATGATCCAAAAAATAAGCTTTCCGCTAAAAAAGAACACTAAGGTTTGAGGACTCCTTGTCGATGCTAGTTGGGAAGGCTAGGCTGGTACTTGACCTGTTCACCTAGAAAGCAGTTCATTGGACCCCAATCAACATGCACCGCATCCAACAATGCCTATCGGCTATGCTTGACCTGCAAGCGGCACAGAACATGAGGGCCTGTTGGAATGAAAGGCTTGGCCAACATCACTTGTTCAAAGGCAACATGAAATGAAAGTGCTGGGTTGGCCAACACTTGACATGAAAGTGCTGTTGATTAGAGGCCTTGGCCTCTGATTTGGGCATGTCTTGGCCCAATGCTTTGACCGAGTGAACTGGGTGAGTTTTCTGGACCGATCCCACAAACCAGCGACACAGGCCATGGCACCACTCCTCCTTTACCCTGAGAAAGCCGCCGCTCCCTCCGCCCCATACTCACCTATTTTCACACATGCTTGGTTGTATTCTGGTTGTGTGAGAAAGCAAGGAAAGCAAGATGCAAAGATGGTACGTGACCACCATGATTGTACCAGCTGCTTCCAAGGGGCCACCAATGGATATCTCCACACTACTTACAGGTCTCCACTGGGCACCCCTTGGAAGCGCGAGGTATGTAGGTTCTTGTTGTATTTCTCCAGGTCTCACCAGATTCCATCCACCATGTGGAACCGTCCGCCGCCCATCTTACCAGCTGGGCGCCCCGAACAAATCCACCATGCCCATCGTCTCCCCCGTCTGCGCGTCCACCACGGTGCCGTCCGGTTCCACCTTAAAGGCCACCTCCTGGAGCGGAGCGGCGCCGTGAACGCGCGAAAACGAGACACGCGCACATTGGACCATGGCGGGCGCGACGCAGTCCCAAAGCCTCCATGTATGGAACAGATACGATACTGGTTGGTGTTTTCAGCCCACTTGACAAATATTAGTTAAAGGGTCCAATCATCCCCAAGTAAGAGTTAAAAATAACATCCGAAACCATCACCTAGGATGCTATGTTCCATATAAGTATTGACCCTGAAATGTTCTAAAAATCAACCCCCGTTGTCGGCAACTCTTCCATATCACAGTGGCATCTGGTTGAAGGATGCCCCCTCCGCGCTTTTCGCCTCCCCCCCCAAGGTGGTCCGGACTGGCCACATCACCACCCCAGGATCCAGTCACGACTGGGACGGTCCCAGGATTCATAGGGGTGGTGCCAGGGGGGTCAATGGGGCGGCATATATTCCATACATGGAGTGTATGGGGTTAGGGTCCAATTCTTTTTTTTCCGAGTCCCCATGTGTCCTCGGCAGCTGCCACTCAACAAATCATGAATTCACATGAGTCCGGCTTCTGAGAAGGCGCATGCGCAGCCTCTTTGTAGCCCAATGGTTTCCCACACACGATCTATATACTTTGAAAAGTACGGAGGGCCTGCGGCATCTTGAAGCTCTTGGTCTTGAACTCACACATCAATGCTGGCACTATGGACATGGGGAAGTCCCACCTATTCCGCTGAGTTCAAAGGCACACCGATCCCCCACAAATTCAGGAACCGGTTTGTTTCTCTCTTTCGCTGTCTCTCTCTCTCTCCCTCTCTCTCTCTGCAAAGAGCTTGTTTTGTTTGTTGTGGTACGATTCGTCTTTGAAGAAACCTTCTCAATCTTCTTTCTGAGGCAGCCCCGGGCTGGGTCCAATGCACACTTACAAAAAGAACCCGTTGCGGCCCGGCCACGCACACCATCGCCCACCATGGCGCACCTGCGTCTGCGGATCGACCAAAAGCCCGGCCATCATCAAGTATGGCCTCAAAACGGGGCAACTGCAAAAACATCACCTATATGATCACTGTCACAGTGTATGAGCAAAACAAATGACCAACCCGCACGTGCTCATCGTTGGTCCAAAAGCATCCAAAAGTAGCGTGTTGTTTTCGTAGGCGCACTCCACAACAACCAAAAAGGTGCACAGCAATTCCCGTCCCCACATTCACATCCTGCCATAACATGCGCAAATCAACACTGATCAACACTGAAACTGAACAAGTGTCGCTGAACAACTGGATGGCTCTGGATGGCTCTGGCCAGCTGAGTGGTGCCCATTCGGGTCTGATGGGTCCGGAGGACCAGCCCAAATAGAAAAAAAGGACCAGTGCAGGAAGGGCGCCTGGTCCGGACCATGTGGATGCATGTCCCCAGACACGACTGTCTAGCAGTCTAGCCACATGGACTGCCATCTAGGACGGCCAGGGTGGTGCCAAGGGGGTCAGTCAATGTAGGAATACATGGCAGTCCCATGGAGTGTCTGGGTGTGGGTATCTTAATGCATTGTATATATCCAACCAGTTCAGCCACATGCAGTTGAAACCGTGTTGAATCAAAGGGTCCCTCATGGCCCGTCCCAGCCACGGACTCCACGCGGGTGTGAGAAACAGCGCTCCTGCCATTGAGCTCGACCATGTTGATCTGACCAATGGTTTCCATCAACTTCTGCACATGCTCCTGCAATGGTCGAGCTCTGAATTTGCCTCTGGACTTGCCTCCATCTGGGTGTCACATCGAGGTCTTCAGAGGCCTGAAGTGCTGCACAAACCCTAATAGCCAAGCGTCCTTGAAAACAGGTGAACGGTGAACCCGGCCCGAGCCTTTTGGCAAAAGAATGTGTGGAAAGGTCATAATTAAGTTAAGCAGGTTGCAATCCAATCATGTCAATATATGTGTCAATCATTACAGCTTCACAGGTGAACACTTCCCCACTCGCTTTGGGCACTCGACTGCATGACTGGAAAGGAATGGCAAGGTTTGCCAACTGCTGGGAGTTGCTAAAATAGTTATTATTCATGATTCAGTATTGATTATCTGAAAATGATCCAGAGGCCCCCAGGTAGCTCCAAACATGTCAAACAATTCAATATAGTGTAGACCCAATCTAGAGTCAAGACCAATGCTTGTGAGCAACTTATAATAGGTGCATCTTGCCCACATGGGCATCACTCGCTTGTGTAGTAGTCTTTTTCACTGTTGCGGGTGCTGTTCACATCTTCAGTGCGGGTTCTTAGGCTTCACAGTCTTCCGACCTGCCGAGCCAACGGTCTTCGGGACGTCTGAACTTCATCGTCTGAACGGGTCTTCGACCGATCCGTTCCACCTCCGGTGAAGGCGGACCGCCCGTGTTCTGGGGGCTTCTCAGTGTTCTTGGCTTCTGATAGTCCTTTTACTTGGGTTTTCTATGGTTTTCTTGCCCAGACACGACCTGTCTGGGACTGCCATATAGGACTGCCTTCAAAACAGCCAGGGGTGGTGCCAGGGGGGTCGACCTTTGGGGCGGCAGTCCTGTGGGCAGTCCCAGACAGGCCGTGTCGACGGGACCAACTGAGCAATCCTCCGGTGTCGACCCAAGGGGTGGACCCGCCGGTCTTCCCACAAAACCCGTAGATCCCAGGAGTCCTCAAAATAGTTGCTTTTTTCTCTTCGGAGAAATCAGAAGTGTATAGAAATAGGATGACATTGCTCCTGCAAGAACACTCCGGTTTCAAACATGTGAAGAACACTCCGGCGAAAAACGACGACGAAGACTCGTCCGAATCCCCCTCACACCATTCCACACCCACCTCGGTGATCTCTTGAACCTCCAAAGGAGGAGGCTTATTTTACCCCAAGCGGTCAAGGGGCCAAAGGTGAAGGCGATTGGGCGATTTCATGCCATTTCCTGTGGGTGCCCAGGTGGTGCCGAAACTGGAACAAAGCTGGGCAGTTTTTGGAGTTGGAAGTTGTCGTGTTGCGTTAGCTATGAGCAACTGCAGTGTACAACTCACCAACCGTGAAGCCGTTTCATGTGAAAGGTCGTCCGAGAACGCCTGGTGACTTGGTGTACAGTTTAGCCGTGTCTTTTTGCTGTTTCTGTGGTTCTCAATCTTCGTGAACAGTGCCCAGCGGCCACCCCGGCGAATTACTTCGATACTTGGTCAAAGCATCCATCTTGCTCCTTGAACATGTAATTCCCAGACACGACTAATGGGACTGCCATAGGACTGATCAGGCCAGGGGTGGTGCCAGGGGGGTCTTTCTGGCGCGGCATATTCCAGTCCCATGGAGTGTGGCCACGCGAGATTGATCCTCCATAGGGTGTGGCCTCAAACATATCCAGTCCAAAGGCGGGCCAACGGCCGGCGTCGGAGACTTCGGCTCCAACAAACTTGCGACAGGACAAAACATGAAAAACACCGAGTACATGCCATTGCATGCAAAAGGCTATAGAACACCATACCGACCATACCATATAATTACCAACATATAAATCCCAGACACTCCATGTATGCCATATATGGCTACATTGACCCCCCAAACCACCCCAATGTTGGCATATATGGCATACATGGAGTGTTTGGGAATTACATGCAAAGAATTAATATGATACCGTATTGTACAGTAAACCGTCTTATTCTCATGCAGCCAAGTCAGATCTAAGAGCTGGCGGCCCCGATCCGACCAAAACATCTTCTCCGAGTCATGGCCACTGGAAGTGGAAAACCTGTTTGGTTTTCGGAAGAGCGTCGTTCAAGAGGCCATGCGGCCATCCATGCATTTTCCTTCCACTTCCCATGACTTTTGTTGCAGGGAGGCCTTCAGTTCGTCAATTCAACAGCACATCCCAAGAGAGGTTGAGAGACCTGAACGTTCAGACCCTGGTCTGTGGTACATATATGGGATAGGCTAAAAGATGCTATAAGATAAGGCTGTTCAACCTCTCTTGGTCTAGACTGGACTTGTTGCAGGGAGCCCTCCAGATCTTCTCCAGATGCTCTCCTTTGGGGTCATGGCCGCCGCCAGGCCGTTCTTTCGCCACCCTCCAGGCCGTCGCGAAGCGGCCGGCCTCTCCGGTCATGGGGTTCAACCTCGGACAGTGGATTCTCGTCAGCCAAAAACAAGTCCCAAAAAGACAGGGCAAACAAAAACCGAGGATTGACTCTTTTTGGGGGGAGGAGTGCAGGAGTTCTTCTAGGACGTGTCCAGTTTCAACGCTGTTTCTTTTTGCCAAATCAAAGCTCAGCAAGTCCCTGTCTCGACACCCAAGATGCCAGATATGAGACTCAAATGGGTCTGATCCCAAACTCCAAACTCTGAGTTGCTGTGTCCATCAATGATGTGGGATCCAAAAGGTGTGTTATGGTGTGTTAGTCACATTGCAAAAAGGAACCCAACAGTGAAGAAATGACACTGGAAAGAACCTGCCTATTGAAACGTTCTTTAAAAGATGAGTTTTGACTTCAACGGGATTGACATGTCGCAACTATGCTTACTAGCGGAGTATGAATGATGCCAACCTATCAAACATCGTGTTGACTTCTTTTGCCCCATCCCCCCATCTTCCGTTTGCATCTGCTCTGTTCCACCCTTGGTCCCCTCTCCCACGACTCTGACCCAACCCGCAACACGTCGTTAAGCCTTTCCAACAAGCGCCCCGACACTCCCACGGGCGCTTGTGTCTCCGGGTCCACGAGGAGCCCCCCCTGGTGGGCCACGGACATCGCGCGCCAAGCTAGGCTTCCATCGCGGACATCGCGCGCGCTGGTCGGTAGCCAGGAAGGACATCCGTTCGCTGCTGAGCACGGGTGAATTCCAAGCTTCTTGGGTTTCACATGCGATCACCCCAGTGGCTTCCACGGGTTGATTGGCAGAAAAGAAGTATAGGATAGTTTGGGTCTATCCTATTACCTGTAACACTGGATGATGGTGGTTAGTAAAGGCCTTGCCCAAAATTAGTGATTTGCTTGTTTACTGACTGTTACAGGTAAGTTACAGGTAAGTTGGGACAAACCCACAAGGATAGTATATAATGTCCTTCAGTCTGATCCAATCTGGTCCATGCAAAGACTCTTCCAATTCCATGCTTAGTGACCTGAGGGGTGTGGCGGGCCGTACGGCGGGGCTCACCGGTCGGTGTCGGTTGGGTTTTGGGGGTCAGTTTTGCGGCCAGGGGGTGACGGCTAAGGTGTGGCCAGGTAAGAGGAAACCTATAGGATTCATAGTCTGGCGAAGTGTGTGGTATGTGTTGGGTCGTGTTGGGTCTTGTAATCCGGAACCGTCATCCCAATTCGCTCGGTGCTCTCCCATCTTCTCCCCATGTCTGTACCCTGTTTCAATTAATCAATTGGGGCCGGGATTCCGAAGGAGGCGTTCGGTTCCCCCGATGCATAGGAGGGACCCCAGTCTCCCCTTCTGGACCGTGCTTGTGAAGCTGCTGGGGGTGACGGTTAATCTCAATGAATTGGTTATAAGATGTTATAAGGAAAACATCGACAGGAACACATAGGAAGATCCGGAAAACCATGTAGCATTTGGGGCTTCCAACCACCATTAATTTAATAGGTTTGACCGAATCAACTAAGGATTTTACGCTCAAAAGCGAGGTCAACCATTGTTTTAATGGTCTTGGAAGTCTAGGGTATATATATATATAATTATAAGTCATGAGGGAATCATGAAACATATTGGAACATCAAATTTGTAACACCCATATTATTTTCTAGGGTATATATATCTAATTATATCTATGTATACCCTTTTTTAGACCAACGAACTCAGGAAGGACCTCTCGCCTCCGTCATCAAGAGCTCTTCACCGTTCACCTCCACCGGCATGACACCTCGGGCACCATGGGGTTCAAGGAAGCAAGGCCAAATTGCGGCAATGTGGCCAATAGATGCCTACTCTGCCGCAAACTAACATGGAACCAGAGAATTGTCCGGTGGTTTCGACCATTTTCCGAATACCAACCCAGTGGTTTTGGGGTTCCATGTTAATCTGCAGGGGAGTAATAGCATCCAATAGTGGCATAATGACATGATCTGGCGTTCTACTACGAAACAAGGGGCCTCCAAGTCTTCTTTAACATCCTCTTAAGTGGTCAAAATCAATCACAAGTTAAAGGTGTTTGCAGGATTCTACTATGTTCTATTGCATGTGATCCACGAAGCCTCCGGAACGGGGGGACCCAAGGAAAGCCCTTTGTTGACCTTGTTGCGGTGGAAGATCTGCCTACTTCAGAATCTGTTCATGGCCTATCACGGCCTGTTTCCTTGGAGGGACGGGTGAAGATCTGCCTATCAACGAGGCACGAGGGAACCCATGCTCGTTCGCTCTGACCTGCGCTTTCAGACGGGGAACCCATGCCAGGCATGCCGCCATCAAGCCCGGGTCCTGGTCGGAGACTTGGCAACTGCCACCAAAGGGTACCATCCCTATTGGGGCAGGTCCGACGGGAGGAAATGATTCTGTCGCAAGAAACTCGCCTGGCAACAACCCTTAGCAGAGTTTTAGTGATTGTTAGCATGCGTTGTCAGTGTTTTTTAATAGATGAACATATAATGAAATATACGTCCAACAAATAACCGAAAAGTAAATTAAGCTGCCAAAGGTTGGTATCAAATTAAGCTGCCAAAGGTTGGTATCAAATTTCAAAATCATATCAGCAGCTTGGTAGAGAGGCTGTGCTCGCAACACACAAGCAATAATTTTTCCCACTGTGCTGAGTTGCTTCTATAGTATTGATGCAAAGGATTCACCACATACTCTGCTTAACAGTGCTTGTGGTGGAGAGATGGGTTGAAAGGATTGCTCAAGGAGTACTTTTTTCAATCTTACCTTTGTACTATCCAATCAGATTTGACAAATCCAGGTTTGACTGGAAAAACTCCAATATCTTGAATCCTTATTTGCCATGTCAATTCTTTGTGGCACTGCATTGATAAATTTGGCAGCATGCGTATGGAGGGAAGAAAAACTCCTGGGGCAATTGAATGAAATTTTGGAAACTCCTCCACCCATAAATAAACGCAATCTATACGCAAAGCTATTTCCAAGCTGTATCAATGTTATTCAATGTTTCAACTTGAAAGGTGTAGTCACTTGCCCAGTGTTGCAACCGCCAAGGGCAACCCCCATAAAACACCCCTCGCTGCATTGAGGTGCTCAAATGTCATCTTGGCCGCCCAGTTCCCTCACTCGGCACTCACCTCACTGCACTCGTCAGTTCCCTCACTGCACCCGGCCTAGGCCAAAGCCGCCCATCTGGCCCATCTGGCCAAAGCCGCCGAAGCCGCCCTTGCCCTTGCCAAAGCCTTTGGCCCGTCCACCGGGACCTCGTCCCCCCGACCGCCCGCCACCGGGACGGCCGCCGAAGCCCATCGGCCCGGTCGGCCCGGCCGGCGGGCGGTGAGGGGCGCCGCGGTGAGGGGCGCTGCCTCGGAGAGCGGCACCAGAGCGGCCACAGGGAACAGTCCGGGAAACTAGAAGCTTGCTGCCTTTGAAACCAGAACCGTGGATTCATTCCACGGGGAATGTAACATAATGTAAAACGGTGATCACCAATGCTCTGAGAAAAAGTGCATCTGCATCATGTCGAACGAACACTTCTACAGCTACATGGGATTTGTGGGAGTTGCAGGCCCACACATCAAGCAGCATCCTCTTACAAGCTTCAGAGTGGGCAGGAGCATCCAAGCACCCTCACATACATGCTGCATCCGTTTGGGCGCATTGGAATTGGTGGAATTCACCTGCCCCACCCGCGAAGCAAAAAAACACAGATCGACACAAAAACCAGCGTGGTTATGCGTGGTTGGAAGGCCTTGAAGTTCTTGACATGCACATACCGACGCCAAATAGTTGGTGTGCTTCTGACAAGAATAATCGATTTACTTCGAGCGATCCCCACACAGGCCATTTGGAAGAAGGCCAAAAAGCATGTGTATATTATATAACAACTGTAACCACGACGGTCTCTACCACCCAGCCCCAGGGGGCTGCTCGTTCAATCATGGAAGTGGATCTGGAAGATCACTTTCCTCTACACGGAGGGGTCTGCTCAGCTTCCACTGGTTGTCTCTTCATTATGTCGTCTCTTTAGGTCTCACTTGCTTACTTCCACTTGCCCAAAAATCACGGCATGGCCCCTGAAATGATACGGTCGCTGAACCAACTACTTACCTTACCAGTTACCACACCGAACCCCCTGTTTGGGGTATTTCATGGACACCCCTTAAAAACCTCTTTGTCGGCACTATGAAAAGACACCCCAAGCTCAGGGGCAGCCCATTCTGTCCGATGTGTCCCAGTCCGTCCGCTAAGTCTTTGGACGCTTCGGGCTTCGGCCACCTGGGCCACCAAACTCTTTGATCCGCCCAAGGAGAAATCACGGCCGCCCACGCCACTGGCGGAACTGGCTTTGCCATTCGTGGCACCTGCGCCGTGCGCGCGCTCCGCGATGGCCCAAAGAGGAACTGAACTCTCTTGGTTACACCGGCCATGAGCACGCACGGCAAGAAAGGCAGAAAAGACATCTGCAAGGCATGTTACCAGCAGTCCATGAGTGTCAGCATTTGTTGTATACGTATGCAAATTATGCATATTTATGAATGCACAAATACATATATATATATATATATTGTGAAGCTCACAAGCTTACCAATCAGATGTCTCGCATGACGACCTTTTGATCGAACCTACCGAAAGGGTGGGTGGGTGGACCGAACATCGTCGACAAAGAGCGAGGCCGCTTGGACAAGAGGACCGGGTTTCCCCAAGGTTAGGATCATTCAACTCCAGGGTGAGATTAACATTGGTAGCGGAGCCTCCGCAAGGAGGCGTAGGCATTTTGGAGGGGTTCTCCAGTGAGTAATTAACCTAGGATAGGTTGCATTGGATCCCAGAATTTTGTTGCACGACATTTTACCTTTCCTTCGACCACTGAGCCATGGCCGGAACGGAAGGAAGTTCGGGAGAAGAAAAGGCCGGACACATCTGGAGTCTTCTTCCGGGTTTTGACCCGTCAATTGACGACCCGAGGGAGTATGCCGACAAGATTCGTTTCTTGCACTCCATCTGCCCCGTCAAGGACCGTTCAATGCTAGCTCCCAGACTGGCACTTCTGATGAAGGGCACCGCCTGGGCTCAGGTCAAAGCCCTAGATGGTGAAAAGCTCTCGGACCCAAATGGAGGCATCAAGCTCTTGCTGAGTGCGATGGCCGATTGGGAGGACTCTGCTGAACTCCAGACCTATGAAAAATTCGAGAGGGCTCTGTACAAGGTGACCCAGAAGACAGATGAGTCAGTGTTTTCATACGTGAACCGTATGAATGTTGCCTTTGCTGAGATCAAGAATGTGACCATTCAAGAGATCAAAGCATTCATCATGCTGCGTCAAAGTGGTTTGAATGGAGAAGACAAGAAGCGGGTACTTGCCATGTGTGCCGGGGAGCTCAAGGCCAAGAAAGTGGAAGACTCCATGAGACAACTTGCTCCTCGCATCCTGGTGGGTGCATCCGGTTCCGAGCCAAAGAAGAAGGTCTATCCAGTCAATTTCGTTGATGATGAAGAAGAGATGACCATTCCGACCTACTTCACGGAGGATGACAACCAGATTGACGACGAGATGGGTCTTCAGATGTTGATGGAACAAGGCGATGAGGATGCCTTGATGATCACGGAGTTTGAAGACCAGTTGATCGAAGCTTGCCAGGACAATGTCGACTTGAGCATGTGCTTCTCAGCATACACAGAAGCCAGAGGCCGAGTTCGAGATAAGATCCGTGCCCGTGGTTTCTGGCCGCCGTCGAAGGGGAAAGGAAAGAACAAAGGATCCAAGAAGGGTCCGTGGAATGCAAAAGGTGGTTTCCGCAGACGCCAGTCACTGGCGGACCGCATAGCTAATTCCCATTGTCGTCTTTGCGGAGCTCGTGGGCATTGGCGACAGGAATGCCCAAACAAGGGCACGACTTCGAATGCCGCAGCGCCTTCAGCGGAGATCCACATGTCCACTTTGGTTGGGGAGAATGTGTCAGAGGTCGACTCGGAGGTCTTGGAAAGACTCCCGATCTCACTAGAACAGATGCTCCCTGAGTGGTGGCCCGTCGTCCAGGAGAAGGCGACGATTCAGAACGATGTGAATGAGACGATGTTGTTGACCGACCCTGGCATGAGCTCGACCGGGAATTTTGAAGACAGCCAGGCCGGTGCTGAAAACAAACCCACAAAATTTTGTCGGTATTCTGAAACAAGAATCCGTGTTAATGAAGAATTCGTTTTTGCTGCTCTGTCCCTCCAAGAGTTGAAACGACAGCTGAGACGAGGCTTAGGGGGCCTTACACTGGGGAAACGTGTCAGGCATGAAGACCCACATGAGCCGATGTTTTTTGTAGATCACGGTAGTGTAGCAATCCTGGACACAGGAGCCTCTAAGTCCGTGATTGGAAAAAAGAGACTAGAGCAGCTGCTAGTCAATTTGCCGAAGGAATATGCACGTCAGATCTCATGGCAGAAGTCTGATACCGTGTTTAGATTCGGAAACAATGGGACATTGAAGAGTCTAGGTGCGGTTTTTCTGCCTTTTGGTAAGCGTTGGCTAAAGCTTGAAGTGGTTGATGGCACTACTCCTTTTCTACTGTCAAATGCCTTTTGCAAAGCAGTGTCGGCAGATATTTGCACCTCGAAGCGTGAATTGTGCATGTTTCATGGACGTGTGAGTGTTCCATTGACGGTGAGTGAGAAAGGTTTGTTCTTGGTTGACTTGTTAGATGTCATGAAACATGCTGGCAGTGCGGAAGTGCAGAATGAGACTTGGGAGGTCGTGACTCATATGCTAGAGTTTTCCAATGTAAACGGTCATGGAAACAACCTCACAACGACAAACACAGACACGAACCAGCCGAGCACAGAGATGACACGACAGACATGCCCAGCAGCCCTTCGAGTTTCAAGCAGTGCCGAGATTTCCCAAGCCAATCACCTACTCCATGGCGCCCAAGAAGGTGATCCCAACATATGCGGCGGTGTCGGGACTGGACAGTCCCCTGACCTTTCCAGAAGATGCAACGTTGACCAACATCTCATCGGTCAACGATGCCAAGATCGTCAAGCCGCCGGGTGTGACCACATTGAGGCAGTGGGGAGATCAGGTCTTGGGAGGCGGCAAGCATGCAGGCAAGACATTTGCCCAGGTCCTGGCCATCGATGCGAGCTACGTGGAGTTCATGAAACGAAAGGGAGATTGCACTTCAGCCTGGGCTCTCAGCTTTCACAACTATGTGTTGGCCACCGCTCGGATGGAGACGACCATGCCGGTGGAAAGCCAGCAGCCAGTGCTGACGCCTCAGATGATCAAGAAGACCCGAGAGGAGTGGGCACAGCAGGGAGCGACAACCACAGACTGGGATGTGATCGACGACCTGAACAGCTACCACCGCTCGGAAGTTCCCGTGGGAATCCCATCCATGGCAAGTGGATCGGCACCGGGAAAACGAGGAGTGCCACTTCTCGAGGACCATCAGAAGATGCAGGTGGACCTTGCGAAGGAGAACCGAGATCGAGTGACCCAGATCCAGACGCAGATAGCCATTCTGCAACGCGAGTTGGCTTTCCTGATGCCAGCAGAGGAATCATGAATGATACAAGTGAGAAGTTGAGTTATGAGAACCAACCTTCGTTTGAACTTCATACCAGTATGGACACTCCAATCAACGACTTCTTTGCCAAGGAGTTAGCTAACCTGGTGGAAAAGATTGAGTTTCAGATGCAAGAGTTGGCAAACCACTCAGCTGACATCCGGACACGACACTTAGCACCACGAACCCACAATTCGAAGGAGAGATTGGACATCCTGGAAATCTACTGTTATCCAAACTCCCACCTGACACAGATAGCAAGCCAGATGGGGTTGAAGACCCGTCGATTCACAATCCAGGATGGTGATCTCCGGACCCCTGAGGGTCAGAACAAGCTATGGCAGATCCTGGAAACACAGCAGCCCACACACATTTGGGCTTCACCTGACTGCAAGTTTTGGGGAAATTTCTCCAGACGCAACATGGGCAGAAGCAAACAACTGAGAACCTACATACTAGACGGGAGAAAACATGAAAGACCAAACTTGAGTTTGTGTGAAGAACTATTCATGTACCAGGTAGAACATGGAAGACATTTTCATTTGGAACAGCCTGTCGGTTCTGAGATGGTAGTTCAACCCGAATTGGAACAATTGAGATGGGGTACTCTGCCAACGGTTTTTGACATGTGTGAAGTGGGTAGGCTGAATTGGAAGGGTGAGTCGATGAGAAAGAGAACGATAGTTTTGACGACCTCCCGAAATTTGCACAGAGCGCTAGACTGTCGATACTGTCGCAAGAAACATGAACATAAGCAGATTGCAGGACAGGTGAAACACCTTGGAAGGTGGATGCCACTTTCTGCCTTCGCTGCGAAGTACTCGTCAGACTTTGCGCGTGCAGTGGTTCGAGCTGTACAGATCGATCCTCAAGAACGTCCTTTAGTGTTTGATGAACTCTTAATTTCAGAAAAAGGACAAGAAGTAGATGAGGTATTGGTAGGGGAGGCATTGAAACGAAGACGACTCATCTCGAAGCAAACGGTAGGAGAGAGGACGCAAGAAGATAAAGATTTGGATGACAATCGTAGGATGGACTTTGAAAAGAGAATCAAGACCCTTTTTGGAGACCTGGACAAACTGGCCCCGAGAGTAGGTTCAATAGTTCTAGGACCGGAAACTGCTGTTTTCAAACAGGCCCAGGGTTTCTGTACCTTCCGACTAGTACATGCAGAGGTATGTCGAGGGACTGAACGGTTGAGGATTCCCAAAGCGTCTACTCCTTTGGAAGATCTTGTTTTCAGAAAAACTTTTTCACTTCGTCGATCGTCCGGAAATATCGAACAAGTCGGAGAGGAAGAGGAATGGCAAAAGCTGCCACAGCGGCAGCGCATCAGAAAAGGGATTCCTTCGAAGATTACTTTAACCCTGTTTGGTACTAAGCAACCTGAAACGTCCGGCCGGGAACCTAGGAAAGACGACATGATGATTGAACCTGTCGGGGAGAAACGAAAGATTGAAGATGTTCCAGAACAAGAAACCTACGTAGGAAAGAGGTCTAGAATGGGGATGGGGGACACTGACTTGATGGAAAATGACCCCGAAAAGAAGGGAGATCCTCAGACATCAGGGGAAGAGTTAGAGATTCCTGGAAGACCACCCCGGAATTTATCAAGACATGGACCTGGTTACCTGAATCTAGATAGGGAGAAACAAAAGTGGATTCAACAGGTACACCACAGACTTGGACATCCGGATGCCGACACGTTTGTTCGTTTCCTTCGATCCACGAACGCAGAGTCGGAGTTGACGGACGCCGCCCGTGATTACCAGTGTGATGCATGTTCAGAGTCCCGGAAAGGCTTCGATCTTTCAAAGGTTGGGGGGATACATGAGAACCTTGGTTTTAATGATACCATCGGTATGGATGGTGCAGTGTGGACCAATGCTCAGGGAACCCAATTCCATTTCACGCACATTATCGATGAAGGGACACTGTTTCATGTAGCCCGACCATGTGGTAGTGATTCGAGTGCACAATGGAATCTGCTAGAAGATCACTGGTTTAGTTGGGCAGGACCTCCAAAGACCATTTATGTGGACCCCGCAAAAGAATATTTGAGCGAGGCATGGATGACACGCATACAAGAACTAGGGATCACCCTGAAAGTTTCGGCCCGTGAATCACATTGGCAACTAGGCAGGGTGGAGGCCCATGGATCCATCCTGAAGGGAATGTTGACACGTATGGATCTAGAGGTACCAATCCTAGAAGAGGAGTCATTCAAACGAGCCATAGTCCAAGCATGCCATGCGAAAAACTCATTAACACGGAAATCTGGGTACTCACCAGAACAAGCGGTTTCGGGGTGTGCGACCAGACTACCGGGTTCCGTTACTTCAGATGATAGTGCACTGAGTCATGAAAGAGCGCTAGATGAGGGCCCCAATAAGTTCAAAGAAGCTTTAGACCTCCGAGAATCCGCACGAAGAGCTTTCATTTCCTTGGATAATTCAAACAGTCTGAGACGGATCATGTTGCGGAGAAGTAGACCGGTTAGGGAGAATTTTGAGGTGGGGGACTTGGTTTTGTATTGGAAACGAAAAGGTGGAAACATGAGACGGGAACGAGGACAGTGGTTTGGACCTGCTCGTGTCGCCCTTGTGGAAAGTAGGAAGGTGATATGGTTGGTGCACGCCCATCGTCTCGTTCGAGCCAGTCCACAACAGTTGCGTGCAGCTTCACTTAGGGAATGGAAGATGATCAAAGACACCGAAGAGTTTAGAGTACCAGCTCCTGATTGGGCTCGTAGGATAGGTCACCAGGACTTGTGCGAGCTTGATCCAGATGATCTTCCTGAACCGAGTGAACCCGATGTCGAGCGGCCCGATCCCGGCGAGACACCTGGGGAACCAGAAGATGTTTTGGTTCCTGAGCCTGAAGAAGAAGTATCTGCTCCGACTAGAAAACCTTCCATGAACGTTGAGGTGGACGGCACCGATGTTCCGGTTCCTGAGGATGATGAATTGTTTGGGGACACCATTTTCTTTCAGGAGGTTGGTCAGGGGCGGTGTTGGGAAATAGATGTGACACCTGCCTGTGAGATCGAAAGTGCTGGTGGAACACCAGATGCCCTGATTTTGGCCGCTGTTTCTGAACGGAAGAAGAGAACTGAGATAAAGTTGAAGGAGTTGTCCCAGGAAGATCAGAAACGGTTTGCAGTGGCCAAGCATAAGGAACTTGGCGCCTGGTTGCAGCACAAGACAATTCGAAGAGTATCCCAGGGCAAGATCCCCGACAATGCCATCATGCGTTGCCGATGGCTGTATGTTTGGAAGACAGCATCCGGAGACGAATTACCTACGGATCTGTCATCTGAAGGAAAGAAAGCCAAGGCCCGTTTGATTGTTATAGGTTGGGAGGACCCTGACTTGGACCAGGTGATCAATGATGCACCAACTCTCTCGAAGGATGGAAGGACCGTTTTGCTTCAAGCAGTTGCTAGTCATCAATGGCCTTTGATTTCTTTTGATATCTCAACTGCTTTTCTTCATGGAAAAGGTGACGGTCGACCCCTAGGTCTAGTTCCGGTTCCAGAAATGCGTGAAGCCCTGAACATGTCAGAGACAGACCAGGTGCAACTGGATGGAGGAGCATATGGCAGGATAGATGCTCCCTTTCTTTGGTTCTGTGAGTTTAGGGATGAACTGAAACGCCAAGGATGTCGACAATCACCTCTCGATCCCTGCGTTTTTACCTACCACTCCCAGGATGGTCTGGAAGGCTGTCTTGGGATTCACGTTGACGACGGCATTGGCGGAGGCAGTCCAAAGTTTATGGACATGCTACGTAGGGTAGAGAAGAAATTTAAGTTTGGGGCTTTTGAAGAAGGAGAATTCACCTATACCGGGATTCATTTTAGGCAGTGGGATGATGGATCGATTGAGTACGACCAGGTCCCCTACATCGAGAAGATACAACCCATCGCTCTTGGGAAGGGACGCAAAGAAGATCCTGAATCCTTGATTTCAGAAGGTGAAAGGACCGCTTTCAGAAGCCTCATTGGAGCACTCCAATATGCAGCAGTACATAGCAGGCCAGATCTAGCAGCCAAAGTAGGAGAGTTGCAGAGTGAGGTCACTAGGGCACAGGTAAAACATCTAGTTTTGGGAAACAAAGTGCTGACAGAGGCCAAGCAGAATCGTGTTTCATTGATGGTGTTACCGATCCAGCCCGAGAGAGTGACCTACTGTGCATTCTCGGATGCCTCCTTTTCATGCACCAAACATACCACGGCACAACAAGGAACCATAATCTTTGCAACGACACCCGAGCTTCTGGAAAATAAGAGGTCTGTGGTAGCTCCAGTCGCCTGGTATAGTAAGAAGATTCCTAGAGTTGTCAGAAGTACACTTGGTGCCGAGGCAGCAGCACTGAGCAATTCAGTCGACCGACTTTTGTGGCTCCGGATCCTGTGGGCAACGATCCTCGACCCGGACTGTGATTGGAAGAATCCTGAGGTTTTGTTGAAGAGCCAGAATCAAGCAGGCCTAGTCACCGACTGTAAATCGGCCTACGACCTTTTGACACGAACAGCGTTGCCACAGTGTTCTGAACACAGGACGACTATAGAGTGTCTGCTGATTCGCGAGAGGCTTCGTGATAATGCCACCGTCAGGTGGGTTTGCTCACAAGCGATGTTAGCCGACTGCTTGACGAAGACAATGGACAGCAGTGCTTTGAGAGAGTGTTTAAGAACTGGCAAATACATCCTTCGGGACGAAAACCACACGTTGAAAGAACGGCTAACTGCTCGGGAGCGACTGAAATGGATCAAGCAGCATGGATCGACAACAACTCGATCATCCGAAGAAGCCATGTTGACTGAACAGATCGGCAAATCTATGCATGAGGAGGATTTTTGGAAAATGGGTCCAAAGGGAGAACTCATTCGGGTGCACGTGAAACCAAGATATCAGTTGTTTTCACCTGTCGGGGTTGTTGACTGTCCTGTTGACTTGAGAAAACTCGAAGTTTTTAGGGACACCTACCAACAGGGGTGTGCAGGAGAACGCAGCTACTGGGTGGGAACATGTGCACATCGAAAGACTTCCTTCCCATGGACCGGCGAGACAGTCTTTTACAAAATAAAAGAGTAAAGGGTGTGTGAAGCTCACAAGCTTACCAATCAGATGTCTCGCATGACGACCTTTTGATCGAACCTACCGAAAGGGTGGGTGGGTGGACCGAACATCGTCGACAAAGAGCGAGGCCGCTTGGACAAGAGGACCGGGTTTCCCCAAGGTTAGGATCATTCAACTCCAGGGTGAGATTAACAATATATGTATATATATATATGTGTATATAAATATATGTATATGTGAATGATATAATACTTGCTATAATTATACTATACTTGAGAGAGGAGGGGGGTGAACGAAAGGTAGCAGGGAATCAGGCGTAATCCGGGAGGAGGTGAGAGGCCCCCCACTTGTTTGAAGAGAAGTGAGTGAGCGTGATGAAAGAAAGACTAGTGCACAAACGCTTGACAAAACCTCCAGAAGCTGTAGCGGTCTAGCGGTTTCAATACAGGTTGACGTGCCTTCAAAAGGAGTCACAAATTTCTCAAATGCAACTTCGGATTTACATAGTGACGTGCGGCGACCCTGTAAATTGCGTGGCCGCAGGCCATGCTTGCAAACAGGACGTGCTCAAAAACACTGGTATTTACGAGGTTTCGTTGCCGTCGATCCACAGCCGCGGCAAGGTCTAAGGCCACGCTTGAAGACAGGAGGAGATGAAAACACTGGTATTTACAATATTTTGGAGCCGTCGATCCAAAGGCGCACCACGCTTGAGCGCTGGAAAAGCGCAGAAAACCGTGTAAATACCGGCGTTTTCTGCCGGGAAGGTGCACAAAACCCTGTAAATACCATAGTTTTGTGCAATTTTGAAGCCTCCAAAAGCCTCAAAAACCCTTTCTGACAAAATCTTTCCTGGTTTTTGGTCTTTTTTCGGTCATTTTTCTAACCGAGACGCATCAAAAACCATCGGTTTTTGCGGTGTTTTTTGCCGGACAGCCACAAAAAACGCTGTAAATTCCATGATTTTTTGTCACTGCTGAGGACTGGAAG